AACATTATGTTGTGGTTTACAGCAATGCTGCACTATCTTCACCTTTCTGTAACACATCCACTTCAGCAAAAGTGCAGTAAAAGATAATCCTTTCGGTCTCTGCAAACCTATATACACCACCCAATTTGCTCTTCCTCCCCTCCAACACCTCTCCTTTTCCGCAACAAAACCCTTCCAATTTCCTTATACCCTCAGGTAAATTAACAGAAAGATAATAATTACCCAGACTTCATATCTGCACTAGGTCCTTCTTCCTGTTAAGCAACAATAGTATCTGCAAGCAAGATATAATAAACCATATAAAGTAAAAAGAATGCAGTTTTACAGTATGAAAATTTACAACAAAATAATTGCTAAAATGTGTATCATTGAACCATCTTACTGCCCATGGGTTTCTCAAAAAAATAATACATATTCTTTTATAAAACATACTAGGAATGCTCAAACAGATTACAAACTATACATCTCTCTCTTTCTAATTCTTTCTTTCTCTGTGCTGTCTACTTCTCTCTCCTGCTTCGAGGGCTGGCTCAAAAGCATTATGGACCCCTGGGCAAACCAGTGTGCCGGGGCCCCTACAACAACCACTCAAAGGAACGAGAGGTAAATGGTCAGTTAGCGTGGGGTTCTTATACTCGTGGGCCCTGGGCAAGCATTCAAGGGGCCCCTGCGTTAAGATGGCACAGCTAATTCTTTATCTCTTGCTGCTTTTTCTCTCTCTCTCTCTCTCTGCTTCTCTTTCTCAACATTTTTTTTAACAGTTCTGTTTCTATCTCTTGTTTTATACTTCTCCCCCTCCCTTATTTTTTTTTTCTCTCATACCATTGTGTTTGTGTAGCGCAGTAGTTTGTGTGTAGGGGAATTATGCCTAAATATCTGGCTAAATTTAAAGTGGGCTCTCCTCCGAACTTTGTCCCTATATTATGGCGGCCAAACAAATACTCTAACAGGGCCTCAGTCATGTATAAAATGAAGTACCTGCCGAGAAAAAACTAGGATTGCCTCTGAATAACAGAGGCTAATATTATCGAGGGCAAACAAATATTCTAAAAGGATCTCAGCAATATGTTAATTGCGAACCTGTTTTTGCTACTATACCGCACTACCGACAGTATCCTCCGCACCGCGCGGATGGGGGGATAAACTAGATGGCTGGAACTCACGAGCAAATAAACTGGATGAAGTTGCAGGAGATGCGGTAGCTGCTGCTCATAAGACCCAGCCATCTAGTTTACCCCCCATCCGAGCCGCTACATGCGGCGGATACGCTCGGGGGTGAGTTTAATCGGAAGAACACTATCGCTACCCTGCGTCGGAACGCATGGTCTCCCCGCCATGCCACTATTATTGTGTGTATTGTTGCGTTTCTCGAAATAGTCAATGGACAGTAATCCTAGTTTTGCCGCGATGTGTTCATCGGAGGAAGTCCGTATTTTACACACGACTGAGGCCCTGTTAGGGTATTTGTTTGGCCGCCATAATATGGGGACGAAGTTCGGAGGAGAGCCTTAATATGATTTTGAGAAATAAATTTCAAATCAGATGTCATCACTTGTTTTTTTAAATACTCACAAAACTTATACTACAGTAGTACTACTGTCAGCAGTAAGAGCAAAGCATCTGCGCTTTGTCTTGCACCTGTGATACCTTCGTCTTGTACCTCAGGCGTTGCGAACTCACTTCGTAATGCCAGGATGCCAAGTAAGTTCGATCACAGCTGCAGACGATTTGTGTCTTGCGTTGGTTTCGACATTGGTACCGAGAGCTGACCACACAGTAAGCAATGTTTGTTTTTCTTTGTCTTGTAGTATTATTTGCAATCCCACTATTTTCCCGCCAACCGATATCTGATCTCACGTTTCACAACAAAACATATAAAACTGACATGCCCAGAGTTGTCCACAGCGTTGGCCGCCATCTTGTCTAAACAAATCTAGTTGCCTTGATTGTGAGGAGAGCTAGGCGTTTTTAAATTAATGTATTTTTTAAAATTGTATCCAGCTGTATCATTTTTTTTTAGGCTTTGTGGTCGCAGTTTTTATTTTGTCATTCTTGATTCTGATATAATGAAGTTGGCTGGCTTGAATTCTCGATTAGATAGTGTTTTTTTTTTTTTTTGATTGAGAAAAGATCACTTCCGTAGGTCGCTGAGATGTGTAAATAAACGTATCCAGGCAACGGCTTGAGAGTGGATGTGGAGTTCATGTCTATGAGATACAGACAGTGGAAAATAAAGAAACACTGTAGGTACATCAATATTTTGTTGCCCGAAACTTTTCTTTCTTTTATCTTGTACATGTAGTTTTATACTTTGATTTAATCTTAAAAATATAGTCAGGTAGAACTGTTAAGAATTAAACAAACAACAGATGACGAACTGGCTGAACTGGCCATCGAAAATGGCGGCCAAACAAATACCCTAACAGGGCCTCAGTCGTGTGTAAAATGCGGACTTCCTCCGACGAACATATCGCGATAAAACTAGGATTACTTGACAATGTCACGACACGCAACACTGCAGACGCTAATAGCAGACAATAATACTTAATAATAACGACTGTTGACAATTTCGAGCGTTTCTGCAGACGGCTCTACTTGGAATAACGGTTCTAAATGAACTACGCAGAAAGTTAACCCAAACAGAGCCTCACAACGCAGACAGTTAACCCAAACAGAGCCTCACACATATGTAAAAGTCGCATTTCTGTGTCAAAAGTAATATTAACTGCGCACGACATTTTCGCCGAACGCAACGGATTTTTTACGGCAATTAGATGGTGGCAAAACAAGGATTAACTGCATACGAAAAAATTACCGACACGCGACAATACTCCCGATAGCGCTATCCTATGGCAGGGCCCGAGTTATATGTAAGTTGCCGATCGCTTTTCGCCGACTGTAGTGCCACCTCCGAGAGTATCCCCTGCGCTGCTATGCGCGGCGCGGAGGGGGCTAAACTAGATGGCTGGGAGTCCTAGCCATCTAGTTTAGTTCCTTCCGCGCCACGCGTAGCAGGGCGGGGGATACTCTCGAAGGTGGCACTATAGTTGGCAAAAGAAGAAGTTCACATTTTGCACGTTACTGACCCCAGGTCAGCGTACGTTTCTGGCCTCGACATTTTGAAATGTTTGTAGGGCAGGACGTAATGAGGCTTTGTTTGGGATTAACTTTCTGCGTAGTTCATTTAGAACCGTTATTCCAAGTACAGCCCTGCAGACGATACTAGCGACCATTGACAATTTCAAGACATGCAACATTACAGACGATAATAGCCACATGACGGGGAGACCATGCACTCCGACGCAGATTAGCGATAGTGTTCTTTCGATTACATTCACCACCGAGCATGCGACGCGAATGGGTGGGGGGGCTAAACTAGATGGCTGGGACTCATAAGCAGCAGCTACCGCATCTCCTGATACTGTCGGCGTTGCAGCATAGTCGCAGAAACAGGTCCGCAATTAAAATATTGCTGAGACCCTGTCAGAGCATTTGTTTCGTTATTCGGAGCCGATCCTAGTTTTGCTGCGATTTGTTCCTCGGCAAAAACTCCGCATTTTACACACGACTGAGGCCCTGTTAGGGTATTTGTTTTGCCGCCATAATATGGGGTAGAAGTTTTAAGGAAAGCCTAAATGTACATGATGATAATTAATTGACATGTTATTGTTATGACGAGCGTGTCACACAATGACAGTGAGGCTTCACCAGCAGTAGTAGTGTCTTTATGCAGCTTATTAGAATCCATACGTTTATTTTAAAAATTTCCTCTGATTGTCTTCATCAAATCATAAAGATGGTGATCGTTGTATGTGACTTTCATAGTAATAAATAGTGGTCTATATTGCTTTGCTACCCAGTGCTAATATACGGCATGCCTATACAGCACTCTTCCGAATACTGGTTATTAGATTTTTTGGTCTGCCTTCATTTTTATGCCCCTTGAGTTCCAATACGAAGATATTCTATTTGTGTGAGTGCTGATTGGTCTATACAAATATAAAGCAGGCATCATATGCCTACTATATCTCATGGCATGAAAATAATATACTCACATATCACAATTTCTTGGAACTGTCATAATATTGGAAGAATAAAAAAGTTGAAATATATGTAGAGGTTACAACAACCATTGCCAGAGCAAAATTAAACATCTTCAAGATGCAAAACATAACAATATAGAAAACAGCCAGCTGCATTGAGACAGAAATGTTATTGTGCTATATAGAGCCTATACTGTTGAATACACATGAGGCCTTTAACACTGAAACCAAGAATTATCTATTGGCAACATAAATGTATAAATGTGGGTTTCAAAGAAAATACAAAGATCTTTTATGTATTTTTATATGTGTGTGGACTGCATGAATGTGTGCATGCGTTATTCTGAAAAATTAAAGGTTAAACTGATTATATGACTTTATAAATGCCAACTTGTGTAAACATTTAGTCTTAGTTTTACATTCCCAATTTGTTGTAATGGAAAACTTCAAGATAATCATTGCCTGCCAATGTATCCATTCTTTTCCTTTCCTTTACTAAAGAGTTCCTCCTGCTCCCCAGCCATTTTACCTAGCAGTTGCTTGTAACATTAACCTATTTCTGACTTTCAAGTATACTTCTTTCTTTTTTGTCCATATCTGCTTATGCCGCTAGGCGTCGAAGTTCATTAGACGATCAGCAGCTGAGCCAGAGTGAGCTCAGAAGCTTGATATGCCGTGATGTTATGCAGTCTTAAGGTGTCAGTGACTCCTTCAACCCATCTTCTTCTCGGTCTTCCCCTGCCTCTTGATGTTTTGATTTTCAGGTTGTACGCTCTTGCTGCTGGCATTGTTGGTTTCATTCTCATTAAATGGCCAAACCATTTCATTCTTTGTTTCTCAATAAATTTGACGATGGGTGTTGTTCTAACAGTTTTTGTGATCATGTCGTTTCTCATTCAATCTCTTCTGGTTTTTTGCACAGCCATTCTTAAACATCTCATCTCACAGGTATACACAATGGAAAAAACAAAAGATCCAATTTCAATGGAGCATCCACATATTTATGTGGAAAGAACTCTTGCAATAATCAAGCCTGATGTTCTTTACAAAGCAGATGAAATAGAAGACATAATACTCAGGTCTGGCTTTGCAATATTGCAAGTAAGTTTCTAAGTTAATTAACTTATGTATTTATTTTTGCATTCAGACTGTGTTTCCCCAGATTCTATATCTAGCAAATAACAATACGCTATTCTATCATTACTCCCTACATGACTGCATCACTTCTGATTTTCTCAGATCCTAAAAGTAATCATGGTCTGGTTAAGGAATATTCTGTGTAGGCAATTTACTGTTGATTTTTGGGTAAATATTCCTGTAATTTAAAAAATATGAATGGAATAATAACTGTCACTTTCACTGTTTTCTTCATTTACCAATTTTTAGGGCAGTGTAGATAAGAGGCCGTGAGCCTCAGGATTTTAGAGCAGCATGGCTAGTGCAGGTTAGGATGTTTAAATCTGCCCTCAACAGAAAAAATCCATCACCTTTACCTGGGTTGAACCCGGGTCTCCTGCATGAGAGCCCAATCTTGTAACTACTTGGCCAGCCACTCCTTAGAATAATAACTAATAGGTAATAATAAAAGTGATGCTTAAAATTTGTAACAAGAGAAAAAAAAATAAAACAACATATTTCATAGAAGTTTTCGATCATAAACTTGGGCATATGAGCCCTGAATCAAATAGGCCATGTATAAAGTAATTAATTTTTTTCATGGTATGGAAAGTGTCTGCTCACGAAGTGATAATTTTTTTTTTAAATTACAAGGTGCAGAGAAACATGGCAGTCATTAGCAGTCAGTGAAGCACTTAATAATGATGATGATGTAGTTGTAATTGATGCTGAGCTGTAATTTATAAATTCATTTCACATCAAGTGTTTCTACTTATTTGGGTTTTCAGAAAAGAAGAGTCCATTTAACACCAGAACAAGCCAGTGATTTCTATGCTGAGCATTATGGGAAGTTGTTTTTTCCCAGCTTGGTCGCATACATGAGTAGTGGCCCCATAATTGTCCTTATGATAGCCAGAGATCATGCTGTCTCCTACTGGCGAGAGCTGATTGGACCAACAAACACTGTCAAGGCCAGACAGACACATCCTGACTGGTGAGATTTTAAAATAATTGTTTTGGGGAAAAAAAAAAGTTTATTATTTAAATGTATTTCCAGATTACAGTATTTATCATTCGTGACTTATAAATTGGAAGCTGTTGTCGCACGGTAACTAGGTTTTTGCCTGAAGGTCTTAGGAATAAAACTGCACTGATGTGAATTTCTATATTTGACCTTTGGACACAGCCTAAAATATGCACCAAGAAATGTCCTTAGGAAAAAGGCAGAAATCATGATATTGATCTTAAAGATCATCAAATACTGACTGGTCTATGAAAATATGGATTTAGCACAATTTTTTTATAATGAGAAAATGTCCGTTCCCTACTTGTGAAATTGTTAGCTAGTTTCATGTTTTGTTCTAGCTGGATATCAAATGCCTTGCCAAGTGGGGTGGGCGATCCTGCCTCTCCACAATTTGTGATGCGCAACTGCATGTATCAGTTAGTGTGTTGACACCCCTCCATGCCCAGAAAAAAGGTTGTCAAGAATCTTCTCATGCTGTCTTCCTCTATCCTCTCTTTTCACAGATCTTTCCAGTGGTCACAACATGTTCCAGTTTCCCTTTTTCTCATAACATGATGACCAAAAAATGATTGTCTCTTTCTGATGTTTATGATAAGTTGTCTTCAAGTCCTCACTTTTTTTTTCAAAACATTGGAGTTGTCTTTTTAGCTGTCTAGGAATTCTAAGATTCTTCTGTAAAACCATGTCTCCGAGGCCTGAAGAAAATGTTCGTTTTTTATTAATTGTCCAGGATTCACAGCCTTATGTTAAAGCTAGTTCTATATAGCATGCAATAATTCTTTCCCTAACCTCTTAATTTGATAAAATTTAGTTTTGGCCTGAACTATTCTGTTCTTTATCTCTGTGATACATCTTTTGTCGGATGTTATTCAAGTGCCTAGATACTTTAATTTATGTACTTGTCCTAAAATAACACCTTTGACTTTTATTACACCTTTAGGCGCTATTCTTTTCTTGGAAATCACCTTCTGTTTTCAATTATTCAAACTAAGACACATTTTATCACTTTCTACCACTACCATATCTATCAATTCCTGTAGTTCTTTCTGACTTATCACTATAAAGACAGTGTCATCAGCATATCATATATTGTGTGTGCTTTAAAATCTTTATTGCCATTACCAGGCTTCTACAATTAACATTCTTCTAAATATTTACACATCCCCACATTAAATCAGGAATTTGTATATGTTACTAATTAGGTAAAAGACCATTTTCAAGCCGTTTGCAGATCTGGAATATAGTGCTAGGCTTATATTTTTGAAGATGTCAGCACTCGGTGGGTGATGTAGTATCACACTGGCCTCCTTTACTTCCCAGGACATAATCTGGTACCCATATTAGGTTGGGTTGATATGGGAGCCAAGATCAGTTCTGGAAAAATCCACCTTGCTGCAGATTTGATCCCTAGATTTTAAAGTCAAGGTGAGCATCTTTAAATATTATTATTTTTAGTAATTTTAAATCTTCGGCTATCCTCCGAATAACGGCCACATATTATGGCAGCCCAAAAAAACCCACCCTGACAGAGCCTCATAAGGTGGTGTGTTGTAAACATTAAAAAATTTGAATTTGAAAATAATGAGGAACAAAAGAAAAGGAAAAATAAGGAAATCATTTACTTAGCAATAACTGAGGCCTTTATATCTGAAAATCATGGCACAGAAGCTGCAAATAGTGCCCGAAAATCTGCTGTGGCGTCATTGAAACTTGGCTAAGAATGATCGGAACAAGGCGTGGTTAGTGCCGCATTGGTAACACAGTTTTCGCCGCCGAGAGTATCCCCCGCGCTGCGCAAACAGCGCGGAGGGTGGCTAAACTAGATGACTGGGACTCTCGAGCAAATAAAATGAGGAAGCTGCACTATGCGGTAGCTGCTGCTCATGAGTCCCAGCCGTCTAGTCTAGCCCCACTCCACGCCGCAAGTAGTGGCGCTGGTGAAACTCTCGGCGGCGAGTTTAACTTAGCGGTTTGCGACATCATCGCCGGAAATTTATCATACTTTTGCTGCAGTAAATTCACCGGAAAGAAGTCCGCAATTTACATGTGATTGAGGCCCTGTCAGGGTGTGTTTTGGGCCACCATAATATGTGGTCGTTATTAGGAGTATAGCCGATTCTTCTTTTACTTTTGTTTGTGTTTTTAATAACATAGTCGCAATAGCACAGTAGCTGACATTCTCACATGGTGGTAATGAGTGACTTCCTATGAAAAGTTGGAATTTTGTTAAATTACTGGCGCTTCCTAGTTGACCACACTTAAAATGTGTACAATGAAAGGATCTAGGTACTATTTTGTCTCAAAAATAACACCTAACAATAAGCCCTAGTATGATTTTTCAGTGTACTGTTATTTATTATTTGTCTTCCACAGTCTCAGAGCTGTTTATGGCACAGATGAACAGAAAAATGCTCTCCATGGCAGTGATTCGTTCATGAGTGCTCAAAGGGAGATCAGATTTTTCTTTCCTGACTGTAAGATTTCGTTTTAGTTTATTATATTTATATTGGGCAGTTGTGCTAGTAAAAGAGTTAAATGCTCACCTGCTGGCCCTAAGTTTTCTGGTTAAAATATACATTGATCAGAATTTTATTTTAAAAACACTGAACTACACTCCCAGGTCTGCCCAGTCTAAAATGGGCACTAGGCAGTGTCGACCCATTCCTTCACCCCTGTGTATTAGCTCGACTGAGGTTGCCATCTCTGTGGTATCTGGTGTAAGGTACTAGTCCCATACAGGCAGTACCCTGGGAAGTAAAGAGAGCTGGTGGGATGTTCACATCACCCATTGAATGTTGATAAGTCTTTACAAATATTATTCTAGCATCAAATGTCCGATGCATCACTGGCGTAAAATGGATCCTTTACTTTACTTGATGCCGTACAAAAATGTTGAATGTTGAAGGGATTCATCATCACAGCACTCGGGAAACCTCCATAAGCCCTCCGTCCCCATCTTCAGCAGCAAGTGAAGAGTTAAAATTCCGATGGTACCAGGAACTGTCTGATTGTATATTCGTCTAGCCTTTTCCCTGAGTGTCAAACGTTGGCCAAATCCTCTGGGAACTCCTCACAGTGCCATTCTCCTCGGCACCGTTCACTCACTCCCAAAAGGCCCTCACAACATCCAGCTTGTTCAGTTCACCACCAAGTGGTGCAGAACGGGCCAGTCTATCTGCCTGCTCATTTCTCAACATTCTGGTATACTTGGAGAAAATATCCAAAGGATGCTAACTACCTGGGACCTTTGAAGTGATGCTTGCCACTGCATGGAGCATGCCTGTCACCACTTTTCTCTACATGCACTGTGAGTCAGTTACAATAACGGCATTTGTGTACGGCTGATTCTTAAACCAGCGGAAGGCAGCAATGACTGCCTCCACCTCCATTCTCAAACTAGACGTTGTGATATCATATGCCATTCTTTTTTGCAACAAGCGACGTGCATTCACCTTCGCTATGAACCCTCTGTATATACGATCACATCACCTGGGCGGGAATTTTCATGAATGGGCTGTACAAAAAAAGAAAAAAAAAAAAATTAAGGAACCTTTTCCATGACCTGAGTGCATTTGGTAAAGGTTGACTTATTTAAGAATCAACATCAAAGCACACCAGGCATACCCATAGATGCTCCATCTCCTGCAGAGAATGTCTTAAAGTGTAGATGCTAACTGTTACTGTAGCACACTGATTATTCACACATCATTCTCTTCCTCTCATATGCCCATCATTGCCAGGTCCACTCCTAATACCTCGTTCACACATTTGTTCATATCTAGTCTTAAAAAATATCTCTGAGTGTCCCTTTAGCTATAGCTTTTGTAGCCAGAAAATCCCTCCTTTCATTCCCTCGCATTCCTGCATATCCCGGACAGTATATCCACGTGATTCCCTGCAATGTTGGTACATTGATGCTTGGTATCCACTCACGCATCTGTCCATTTTGAACATTCCGCAGTTTTAAAAAGCAAAAATCATTCACAAAAAATGAGAATCAGGCACAATAATTCCTCTAGTAAGTTTTATTTTCTTCTATCCATATCAAAGCTGCAGTGATTACCCCACCTTCATCCTCATGCTTAAATTAGTGGATAAAAAAGCTCCATTTTGTTCTACCACAAAATTTGCCTTTATTCTAGTGAAAATCCTGACAGATTTTACACCCTTATAAACAGAACCATTGGTGAACACTATTGCATCATCTAACCCAATGTTTTTAATCTATTAGTTGTTGTACCTCTGATTTTTCCATACTGTTATGCCACTCTCTACATTCTCTTCCTAATGTGATAATGACCTGATAAAATGGTGTAAAGTACTAGTCCCATATTTAAATAGACCAGTCAGCGCTCACTGGGTGTTGTACTTTTTATAAAACTGGCTAGACTGGACTTGCAATGAATCCATAGAATTCCTTGGACAGCCAGAAAGAGCTATTCAGATGTTTGGAAAAAGGCAAGGGCTCAAAGACAGTTTATCACAAACATCAGAAAGAGACAGTTATCATGTCTGGGTCATGTATCTATGACCCTTGATGATGATTTACCTGGAACCATGTCACATTAAATAAAATAATCCTCGCCTTGATAGGAGTTTGAAGACATGATCACCAGGTCTGTAGGATAGTGTGCTAGTCGCTACTGCAGCTCCCAGTACATTAAATAAAAACTATTTTTGCTAATCCATCGCCTTGATAGGAGTTTGAAGACATGATCACCAGGTCTGTAGGCTAGTGTGCTAGTCGCTACTGCAGCTCCCAGTATGTTTATAATATATATATAGACATTTGATTTGTGTTGCATATTTTACAGACGTGCTTATACAGTTCTTGTTTTAATATATTGAAATTGTGTATGCACATTCAGTTAGAAAATAGTGCTAAATTTCTATGTTTACTTATTGCTAGGTATTGTTGAGCCAGTAGCACTTGGCCAGGCTGCTAAAGATTATCTTTCTAAAGCTGTCAACCCTACTCTTTTAAAGGGACTTACAGATCTGGCCAAAAAGAAACCGGAAGACCCAGTGGTATGTTGCTGTTAAATTTTTTTTTTTTTAAATTGAAACACAGAAATAAACAGGCAAGTAAGCCCTGATGCCATAGAAACAGTATAAAAGACTAAAAAAATAGATATCTTCAGTGTTCCCTGAAAATTAAGACCTACCTTAAAAGTAAGCCTTAGCATGATTGTCAGGATGCTTTTAATATAAACCCTACTTCAAAAATAAACCTTAGTCAACTCTTTCGGGACGACATTTTTTTCTGGGGTTTGAACAGCATTAATTTTTAGTGGAATTTTTTTTACTGCATAGGGGCATATATCAAAATAAGGAGAAATGAGTGCAAAAAAAATCTAAACTATTTAAATGTCAGTATTACAACAAATTATTATTAAAATCTCACAACGCATATTAAGATTATTGACATAAAAAATTATGTGCTTATCTTACTTTTTACTTATTCAGCAACATTGCTATTTATTTTTATGAATTCTCATGTCTTCTCTGTTATTTACTTGAAACAATTAATTTAAATACTTTGGATGTTATCACCATTTTTATATGACATGTCCGATTTCACAACAACCAAAATCAGAAAAACAGCTGATTGAAACAGAGATGATCCAATTAAAATATTTTGTTCAGTCTTCATTCTAACCTAAATTATTGGCAGTAGGTTTGTCACATGTATTATCAATCATAATATCAATTCTATTGTCACTATCTGGCTGAGATTCATCGACGACAGAGAAGGTGGAACAGTTCTAGACCTTTTCCATTATCATTTGGTCTGAAAAAATCATACAAAAATCATATCAAATCTAATTAATTTAAAACATATCAGAAAGTCATGCAAACACCATGCTGAATTTCAAAAACAAAAAGACTTTGTTTCTCTAATTCTAGTTTTCAAAACATGTTCATATAAATTATTTTTCCCAGCAAACGAAACAATATTAGAGTGTCTCTATGAAGCGCCATTATAGTGGCGAATAGTCTGAATGGGATGGATTCAAAAGCCACTTAAGTGGCGACCAGTTCCTAAAGAGTTAAGATCTTCAGCTAGAATGAGAGACTTGTTGCTAAATGACCAGTTAGAGTAGACACCTCTGGTGCGCACTTGATAATGAAATGGATGTGGTTCATAAAATCACCGATAGCTGTGTTAGCAATGCACTACAAGCAGGCTACATGGACAAGCAATGCTCGTTTAAGGAAAGCTTTACTCCTGGACATAAGAGACTGGACCAGTGGTTCTTCAATAAATGAAATTACAAAAAAATTCAGGCTGGAAATTTTGGTTTTCTAGAATTATGATCATGTTCCAGAAAAGGATGACATGACCGTATTTGAATAAGTGAATGAGAGGCTGAATATACTAAAGTGAATTTAAACAGTCTTAAGCAGAACGTGACGATTCATTGGATGAGCCCAGTACCAGAGTACCATGTACTGGCTCTGCATTCATGGAAGCCTCCATGGAGAGCAGGGAATGCTCTTATTGTGATCCTGCCTTCTCTTGACGGCTGACCAACATTACACGGCTGATCTGGACTGGCCTGATTTGAGGGAGGGGGGGGAGGCACCACCTGTGAACTTGGAAACAAAGATAACCACATGACAATGAAACTAACTGCCGGGAAGGGTTACCTGGGCAACAAATGCCTGCAAAACTAAGATGTATCTGTTAAAAGGCACACATATCTCAGCTATGTTATAAACGAGGACAGTGCATTTAAATCTTTAGATGAACACAGAAAAAAAAAAAAAAAACTCTTTGCTGAAAATAAGCATAATCGGCTTGCTTTGTTAACACCACTAGTCCTTCACCAGTCTGAATAACTAGTTTTCTCAGATCTAGGATAGTTTCAGTTTTTTGCCATCATTCTACAGTGGAGACTGGTTGCAGTAGTTATGTGCATTTGCTGCTGCCTTTTGAAGTATTTCATTATATTTTAGTATATGGTGCTAAACCCGTTTTGTTATAAATCAGTCAGTAGTTGGCAGGGTGGGGGTCATCATTATGGTAGCCATCTTTACTTCTAGAAAATTCCTGTTACCCATTTTAGAAAAATCTCCACCTCTATAGTGGTGTGAATGCATGGCCTTCAAACCAGCTGAAGAACTTGCTAGCCACTGTGCCAAGATTTCTTCAAATTATTGATCATGACAGGTGAACATAGAGAACAGTGCTGTTCTGATCCGGCAGCTTCTGCAGCAGGCTTTGTTCCAACTGTGACCTTTCCTTTGGATTTAACAAAGCAGGCCAAGAGTGGGATCATGCAGCATAAGCAACATATAGTCTCTACAGTACTGCCTAGACTTTGCCATGAAGAGTAGGAACTTCATCTTTAGCCTTAACTAATATCATGCGGTTTCTATTGTATTTCTTTTCATGTAACATGAACAGGAGAGAAAAAGAAACAAGAGAAAGAGGGAAAAGAAGAAGTCAGACAAGTCAGCAAGCAGACGAAGAGAAATAATTAAATATATAACAATTTCCTTGTTGGTTCCATTTTAAGAGGAAACGAGAATAGACCCCCCCCCCCCCCCCCCCCCCAAAAGCATGCTGCAAAAGACAACTTATTGGGGATTAGCTGAAATGGTATATGTTGGGCCAAAAGTTGTAAATATTGGAGCCTAGGTGTATACCACAACACAATATGCCAACCGCTATTATAAGAGCAAACACAGATGAGGAAATACAAAGCAATGATTGTATTTCATAAGGAAAGCACATTTATTTTTTGCATCTTATTTTTATTATTATTTTTTTTAATCTTTCAGCTATGGTTGGCTGACTGGCTACTGGAAAACAACCCGAACAAGCCGAAAGTTCGAAATCCAATTGTTGAGTTAGCGTAGTAATCATGATTTAGATGTTTTATATGTTTTTCTCCACGGCTTTTATTTCTTCATAAAAAGGTGACAGTAATTACAGAAAAGTGTTTAAAAGAGGTGCCAGTACTTACCACAAAGTATCTATTACCGCAGTGTTGAAAAAATGCCTTTAAAAAGGTGCAGCTCCTACATGCTATTGCGTACAACCAGATGAAAAATCCTTGCATTTCGGAAAATTTTTAAACATTTTAAAGTCATTTATGTGAGCATACAGGAAAACTGTTACAGCATTGTGAACTGAAAAAAAAAAAAAGAAACTAAAGCATATTTATATCAAACTCAGCATAAAAAACATGTCACCAGCTAAATGATTCAGAAATACAGTAAAAGTCAGTCATAAAGAATTCATTTGTTTAATTTTTTTCAATAGTTGCATTCACATATGTATGAAAAGGTTATTAAAGTAATTTTGTAGCAGAAATCATTAAGCGTGTCAGGCACACTTACTTTTAAATAATTTTAAAGTAGAATTTTCTTTTCGTGAGGGAAACATCAAACCAAACCAAAATCAGAACCCCCACTGCACCCCCGGGAAAAACCAAAAGACCCCAAGGAGGCCCCTGAATGGCAAGGGAAATTTCTTAACCCTCCCGTAAAAATGAACAGGACCCCTTTTATTCTTTTTAGGGAGGTTTAATGCCCCTTGAAAATTTTTTAAATTTTTTTTTTTCTTTTTTGAAAATAAATTTTTTTATAATTTTGATTCTAAGATTTTCCCAAAATTTTAAAAGTTTTAAAATATTCTACTTGAATTTATAAGTATGGGTTTTTAAACCCCCGCAAAAATCTTGTTGGTTTTTGTCTTAGGGTTTTTATTTTTGTGTTTATTTTTCCCACCAGATTATGAAAAAAAGTTTCTGCACAGGGGAAAAACTTTCTTACTTTTTTTGTTTTTTTGTCAAAATGACTTTTTAACATCTGCCCCTTTACTTTTAATGATTCTTGGATTTTTTAAATATTTTGTTTCATAGGGAGGCCCNCTTTCTTTCTCTCAGGGGGAAAGCCACTACCAACGAATGTAGAAACACCAAAACATCTAGTTTTGATAGCCAAGAATCGTCACGCCTGTGCCGCTTCCCTCTGCAATACTTCTTACTTGTACACAGGCGCCTGAAATAGACTCATAACAACACAACCTCCCACAAACATTACATACGCTGAGCAAACATCAAACCAAACCATATCAGAACACCACTGCAACATAGAAAAGGTCCAACGACCTAAGGAGGCATGAATGGCAAGGGAAGTTACTCTAACCCTAACCTGTAAACATGAACAGGACCTCTTTTTATTCTTTCTAGGTACGTAATGCATTGAAATTTTTAATTTTTTATATTCTTTTTAGAAATATAGTTTATTTATACTTGTGATTCTAAGATTTTACAAATTTAAATGTTTTAAAATATTCTACTTGAATTGATAACGTATGGATTAACTCTTGCAACTCTTGTTTGGTATTGTCTTATGTTTGTATTTTTGTGTTTATTTACCCACCAGATTATGAATAAAGTTGCTGCACAGGAATAACTTTCTTACTATGATTTGTGTCAAAATGACTTTTTCAACATCTGCCTGTGACTTATAATGCATTCTATGGATTTGTAAATATAGTTTCATAGCAGGCGCATATAGTCAGTGTTTTTAATTTTTAGACATATTATGTTGAATGTTGTTGAATTTGTTTAAAAAGCGACATTAGAGCACTTGGGACACCCCCAGACACTCCGTCCCCATCTTCAGCAGCAAACGAAGAGTTCTGATTCCAATGGCATCAGTAACTATCTGATTGTATATCCGTCTCATCCTTCCCTTGAGCGTTGAGCATCAGCCAGATGCTCCGGGGATGCCCCGGTGGTATATATGCGATGTATACTTGCACCGCCTGCTATTGCAGATAGGCTCAAGGTTCTGCAGGCAGGGCCATATCTCAGGGTGGCAGCGGACAGGAGGCACCTCTTGCATGGGACCCTGGATAGATCGGGAGGTCACGGACTGAGGGAAGGAAGGTCTCTGATGGTTCAAGCTGAGAACATGGTTGGATATGTGTGCGGACTTGATGGATTTGTGTGAGGTGGGAAGTGGGTCGGGTTGTCCAAGCGGGTTTCAGACTTGTGCGGGTTCATGTCACTTTGGGTCATGAGTGCAGAGGCTGGCAGCTGGCGCTGCAGAGTCGGGGGTTCAACAAGTGATTCATGACAGTTCCCGCCCAGGAGGTGTGGTTGACTATGCAGATGGCTGTGTGTTGGGGGGGGCAGACGAGGTGCATGGAGGGTTTATAGCAGGGGCTGATGGGTATCGCTTGGTGCATGGGATCTGGCAGATGGTGTCACAGCGTCTGGTTTCAGAATGGAGTGGTGGTCACTGCTGCCTTCTGCTGACTTAGGAATCAGCTGTGCGTGCATGACATGATTGTCACTGGCTCACAGAGCCTGTTTGGAAGGGTGAAGACAGATGTGCTCCATGCGGAGTGGCGGGCGTTGCTTCGGAGGTCCCGGGTGGTTGGTATCCTTTGGATGTTTTCTCTGGATTATGACAGGTGTTGGTAAATGAGCAGGCAGATAGACTGGTCGGTTCTGCACCACTCGGTGATGAACTGATGTATGACAAGCTAGACATGAGGGCCCTCTGGGAGTAAACAGTGCGGAAGCACAAATAGATCATTACCCTCTGAGGAGAATGGCACTGCGAGGAGTTAATACTGGGACTGGGACTCACAAGCAAAGCTGCAGAAGACCAGAAGCTGCTGCTCGTGAGTCCCAGCCATCTAGTTTAGCCCCAATCCATGCCGCGTGAGCGGCATGGGAGATACTCTCGGCGGTAGAGGTAGTCGCTGGAAAACCGCAAATTAGGTCGCCAGAAGTGTGCAATTGACACGTGACTGAGGCCCTGTTAGGGTGTTTTGGCGGCCGCCATATTTTGTGCCCGTTATTCGGAGGATAGCCAAAACATGAAATACAGAAAGGATTTGTGATTTATGGTATAGATTACAAACAATTTGTCAGAATAAAAGGAATAAATGTGACACATCCTTACCGTCCTTTTTAGGATGAAATTTTTCGTTATTTGAAGTTTGGCCAGTAGTTTGCCATTGCTTTCTGGACATTCGGCTTCTCGATACCACTGTGAAACCAACTCAAGGCGCAAGGCCTGCAGCTGGGATCGAACCCGGCATTATGAAGTGCGTGCGCAACGCCTTAGCTACAGACGCCGAAAAAAATAATCAATAAGTAAAAAACTTAAATAATGACACATGATAATTAACAAACATCCAGTTATATTACTACAGACTGAAAAGCAACAAATGCATATTGTGTGTAGCTTTCATGTATTAGTTCTGTCATCAAACATTGAAATCTCACAGCATAAAATGGGGCAAATAACATTATTTAAGAACCAAAAAATACATAGACATAACATTTAAACAATATTTCATCAAAAACTACATCTGCTACACTACTAATAACAACAAATAAACCCATGACAAAATTTATATCTGGGTAAAATAAACTGTACAATAATCCTTGTGCATGCTATGTTTTATTTTAAAAAAAAAACACACAATTAAAGACATAACATTTCAAAGATGTCTCTTTACAATATTTCTTGGTTTAAAATTATATTTGAAATAGTGGTGGGATGTATAAAAAAAAGAATACAAGTTCATGGTATAGTGGGCTTTATACCCAAAAAATATATAATCTCATTAAAAATATACATAGAAACACACACACACACATGTGTATGTCTATGTAAGTATTATGTAGATGAATAAATGCTGCATTTGTGTTGTAAACTGGACTCCATTCTGAACCAGATACAGATAAGTGAATGACAAGGTACATTTGGGACAATTCACAATACTAGGAAAAAAACACACCTTTATGATTCACTCCATCGAAGGTGTCTCCACCAAGCTGAGACACCGAAGCTTGTTTCTCAGTGACCTCAAGAGCTATGCCTGTGGTAAGCTAGCTACCAGCAGAGCCTCCCCACCTTTGTATCCTCTTTATATCATGAAACAAGTACATGTTAAGCAGACGGAGTTCATCAGCCAGGGACAGCAATCCATCTAGAAGACGGAACTCACCACAAACCTCTATTGCCCACTGGATAGCTTTTGGATGACCATAGACTAAGGAAGCTAAGCTTCACAGAAAAGCATCCTAATGTCAGAGGTGCAGCCAGGAAAGGCACGTAAATTTCAGAAAGGTGTGAGAGCTGAACCTGAAAATGATAGTATCATGCAACTCATACCTGTAAGGAAGATTTAAAAAAAAGAAAGAAAGACGAGGACTCAAAATTCATAAGCCTTTTTTACTTTAATAAAGCTTTCTGGAAAATGTGAAATCATGACTGCAAACTGATTAGAGGAGAAAATAAACATGGAAACAGTTGTAATTAAAACTGACTCACAGAGCACACCTTGGAAAATAGAAAATGGTGTCTTGTTTCAAGAGTGGCTTGCACTGCTTTATAAGAAGCATACTGTGGATTTATTATACAAGACATTTGGATCTCTGCAGTAAACTTGCTGCTGCTGCTCCTCTGAGCTACTTTATCATCAAGCAGATATGGTAAAAGCTCTCTGGGATCAAGTAAATAGTGCAACAGAACAGACACAGAATCAATATCTGGAGAGAATGATTCAGCAGAGAGTGAGCTAAGCGTCTGGATGTTTTTTTACTTACAGGAAAGGGTAAGGGGGGGGGGCGGTTACTGGTGAGTTTTTTAATCAGGTTGCAGCTGGCTCAATCAATATGGGAACTCTATTGTCTGCTGAGAAAGGGGACAGAGTGTGTAGAATAATCTTGCCTATTCAGCAAAGATGAAACTCAAATATTAGCTGGGGTCCTGACAATGTTCACATTTATGGCTCATGAACTGTATTTTTTCCTATAAACTAATATACTTTGGCCATATTAAACATCATCGTGGTTGGAGGGCACAATAATGGAAGGTATGGA